GTCACACCACAGAGGAGTGGCGCCCGAGTCACACCACAGAGGAGTGGCGCTCGAGTCACACCACAGAGGAGTAGCGCCCGAGTCACACCTCAGAGGAGTGGCGCCCGAGTCACACCACAGAGGAGTGGTGCCCGAGTCACACCACAGAGAAGTGGCGCCCGAGTCACACCACACCATAGAGGAGTGGCGCCCAAGTCACACGACAGAGGAGTGGCGCCCGAGTCACACCACAGAGGAGTGGCGCCCGAGTCACACCACAGAGGAGTGGCGCCCGAGTCACACCACAGAGGAGTGGCGCCCAAGTCACACGACAGAGGAGTGGCGCCCGAGTCACACCACAGAGGAGTGGCGCCCGAGTCACACCACAGAGGAGTGGCGCCCGAGTCACACCACAGAGGAGTGGCGCCCGAGTCACACCACAGAGGAGTGGCGCCGGAGTCACACCACAGAGGAGTGGCGCCCGAGTCACACCACAGAGGAGTGGCGCCCGAGTCACACCACAGAGGAGTGGCGCCCGAGTCACACCACAGAGGAGTGGCGCCCGAGTCACACCACAGAGGAGTGGCGCCCGAGTCACACCACAGAGGAGTGGCGGCCGAGTCACACCACAGAGGAGTGGCGCCCGAGTCACACCACAGAGGAGTGGCGGCCGAGTCACACCACAGAGGAGTGGCGCCCGAGTCACACCACAGAGGAGTGGCGCTCGAGTCACACCACAGAGGAGTAGCGCCCGAGTCACACCTCAGAGGAGTGGCGCCCGGGTCACACCACAGAGGAGTGGCGGCCGAGTCACACCACAGAGGAGTGGCGCTCGAGTCACACCACAGAGGAGTGGCGCCCGAGTCACACCACAGAGGAGTGGCGCCCGAGTCACACCACAGGGGAGTGGCGCCCGAGTGAAAACACAGAGGAGTGGCGCCCGAGTCACACCACAGAGGAGTGGCGCCCGAGTCACACCACAGAGGAGTGGCGCCCGAGTCACACCACAGAGGAGTGGCGCCCGAGTCACACCACAGAGGAGTGGCGCCCGAGTCACACCACAGAGGAGTGGCGCCCGAGTCACACCACAGAGGAGTGGCGCCCGAGTCACACCATAGAGGAGTGGCGCCCGAGTCACACCACAGAGGAGTGGCGGCCGAGTCACACCACAGAGGAGTGGCGGCCGAGTCACACCACAGAGGAGTGGCGCTCGAGTCACACCACAGAGGAGTGGCGCCCGAGTCACACCACAGAGGAGTGGCGGCCGAGTCACACCACAGAGGAGTGGCGGCCGAGTCACACCACAGAGGAGTGGCGCCTGATTCACACCACAGAGGAGTGGCGCCCGAGTCACACCACAGAGGAGTGGCGCCGGAGTCACACCACAGAGGAGTGGCGCCCGAGTCACACCACAGAGGAGTGGCGCCCGAGTCACACCACAGAGGAGTGGCGCCCGAGTCACACCACAGAGGAGTGGCGCCTTGGTCACACAACAGACGAGTGGCGCCTGAGTCACACCACAGAGGAGTGGCGGCCGAGTCACACCACAGAGGAGTGGCGGCCGAGTCACACCACAGAGGAGTGGCGGCCGAGTCACACCAAAGAGGAGTGGCGCCCGAGTCACACCACAGAGGAGTGGCGGCCGAGTCACACCACAGAGGAGTGGCGCCCGAGTCACACCACAGAGGAGTGGCGCCCGAGTCACACCACAGAGGAGTGGCGCCCGAGTCACACCACAGAGGAGTGGCGCTCGAGTCACACCACAGAGGAGTGGCGCCCGAGTCACACCACAGAGGAGTGGCGCCCGAGTCACACCACAGAGGAGTGGCGCCCGAGTCACACCACAGAGGAGTGGCGCCCGAGTCACACCACAGAGGAGTGGCGCCCGAGTCACACCACAGAGGAGTGGCGCCCGAGTCACACCACAGAGGAGTGGCGCCCGAGTCACACCACAGAGGAGTGGCGCCCTAGTCACACCACAGAGGAGTGGCGCCCGAGTCACACCACAGAGGAGTGGTGCCCGAGTCACACCACAGAGAAGTGGCGCCCGAGTCACACCACACCATAGAGGAGTGGCGCCCGAGTCACACCGCAGAGGAGCAGAGAGGCGCCTGTTAGTGCTCCTTAGAGAAGAGGCGCCCCTTAGGCGCCCCATAGGCGCCTCTTAACAGGGGAGGCGCCTCTTAGAGGAGAGGAGTCTCTTTGAGGAGAGGATCATCTTTGAGGAGAGACGCCCCTTATAGGAGAGGCACCCTTACAGCCGAGGCACCCCTTGTTAGTGTTAGCCTTCAATCTCACACTTTGTACTTTGTATTTTCTATATCCTAGAGTAGTGTAGTTTGCACATTGTGTTTGGTTGGGTGTACACCTACATCCCAACCAAATCCAAATGTAATCTCGAAGCAATCTCCAACCCACCAATTGGAGATTGCCTTGGGATTACCCCCAATCCTTATGGATTGCCCCCGATCCCCTTCAACTTCGCGGAGAACCCGACCATCCCTATCCCTCTCACCGTCCAAGAGGCTCTCTCAGGCCCTCATGCTGCCGAATGGCGTGCTGCCATGGAAGCAGAGATTGCAGCATTCACCCGCAACCACTCCTTCGACGACGAGACACCACCTCCAGGAGTCAACATCGTCGAGGGCAAGTGGTTGTTCCGTGTAAAACAGCTCCCAGACGAGGCCCCGGTGTTCAAAGCGCGTTACGTAGCCAAGGGCTTCACCCAGCAGCAGTACCGCGACTTCTTCCTAACCTTCTCCCCCACATCCAAACCTTCACCATTCGTTCGCTCATGGATGTCGCAGCTCGAGAAGACTTTGAGATCAAATCCATGGATGCCTCATCCGTTTTCCTACAAGGATGTCTCAAGGAGACGGTGTTCATGGACAGACCAGAAGGCTTCCCAAGAGAATTCCCTCCCAACACTGTCTGGAAGCTGAATCGCCCCGTCTACGGCCTTAAGCAAGCCCCTCGCGAATGGCACAACAAGGTGAAAGAAGTCCTCTTCTCTTTGGACTTCCACCCTTCAACTGCTGACCTGACTCTCTTCATCCGCCGTCATTCTGAGCCATTCTACATCCTGGTCTACGTGGATGATTTCATCCTCTTTGCCAACGACTCGGCCCAGATGACCTCTGTCCAGGCAGCCCTGAGCAAGGCTCTCCAAATGAAAGACTTCGGTGACCTCAAGCACTACCTGGGGATGGAGATCACTCGTGATCGTCAGGCTCGCACCACTTCACTCTCCCAGGAGTTCTACATCGACAATGTGCTCAAGCGGTTTGAGATGGAGCTGTGCACACCTGTTGCCACCCCGCTGCCGCTGCAACACCTCCTCACTGCTCCAGCTGTACCCACACCAAAGGCCTGCTCTGAGCCATACGCGGAGCTTGTTGGGTCCCTCATGTACGTCATGATGTGCACCCGACCGGACTTGGCCTATCCTGTCAGTGTCCTCTCTCGCTACGTGGCCCCTGGACGCTTCACTGATCTTCATTGGAAGGCGGCGAAGCGGGTGCTGCGCTATCTTCAGGGCACCAAGTCTCACGTTCTCACACTCGGTGGGCTCTCCCCTCCTCGCCTGGAAGGTTACACCGACTCCTCCTGGGCTGATGACCAGACCGACCGACGCTCCTCTCAGGCGTACTGCTTCACCCTTGGGAGCGGAATTGTCAGTTGGCGCTCCACCAGGTCGTCTGCAGTCTCCCTCTCCTCCTGTGAGGCAGAACTCTACGCAGGCACCATGGCTGCTCAGGAGGCCCGTTGGCTCACCTTCCTACTCCAGGAGCTTGGTTTCCCACAGTCCGCCCCCACCCTCTGGTGTGACAACCAGAGTACCATCCACATCTCTCAAGACCCTGTGTATCACACCCGCACCAAGCATATTGAACTTCGGCACATATTCATCCGTGACCTTGTCCAACAGGAGCAACCTGGCTGATCTGTTCACCAAGCCCCTTGGGAAAGTTCCCCACCACCGTCTCCTAGGCGCCATGGGGCTCTGTGCACCACCCTCTCTACCATGAGTTCGATTGACGCCTATGGGGGGGTGTTAGTGTTAGCCTTCAATATCACACTTTGTACTTTGTATTTTCTATATCCTAGAGTAGTGTAGTTTGCACATTGTGTTTGGTTGGGTGTACACCTACATCCCAACCCAACCCAAATGAAATCTCCAGGCAATCTCCAACCCACCAACTGGAGATTGCCTTGGGATTACCCCCAATCCCTATGGATTGCCCCTGATTCAATTCCCCATCTATTCCCTGCCCTTCTTGGATGTACTTAAAGAGCTTCAAGCTCATTACTAATGTATCGCTTTTAAGCCTAAGTTATGAGACCCCTTAGAGGAGAGGCGCCCATTACAGGAGAGGTGCCCCTTAGAGGGAGAAGCGAGGGGAGTGGAGGAAGCGAGGTGGGAGAGGAGGGCTGGATGGCGTTTAGGAGAAGAAAGCGTGGGGAGTGGAGGAGGCGAGATGGGAGAGGAGGGCTGTATGGCCCTTTGGAGGAGGAAGCGAGGGGAGTGGAGGAAGCGAGGTGTCAGAGGAGGGCTGGATGGCCCTTGGGAGGAGGAAGCGAGGGGAGTGGAGTAGAGTTGAGCAAAAAAACGAACACCTGTTCGGTTCGCCTCGAACACGTTCGAGGCGAACCGAACAGGTTTTTTTTTTTTGGCTTAACATGTTCGCCGAACAGTGTTCGATGTTCGCCCGAACACGTTCGTGTTCGGGCCACTGCTGCAATTTGCCCGCGACGAACACGAACAGTGTTCGAGGTTCGCCCGAACACGTCTTCACAGGCGAACGACGAACACCATTTTTTTACTCAAAGTGTTCGCTGAACCGAACAGTGTTCGGTTTGGCAAACGAAGGTATTCGTGTAGGGGCGAACACGAACACGTTCGTGTTCGCCACTTGCTCATCCCTAGAGTGGAGGAAGCGAGGTGGGAGAGGAGGGCTGGATGGCCCTTAGTAGGAGGAAGCGTGGGAAGTGGACGAAGCGAGGTGGGAGAGGAGGGCCGGATGGCCTTTAGGAGAAGGAAGCGTGGGGAGTGGAGGAGGCGAGATGGGAGTGGAGGAGGCGAGATGGGAGAGGAGGGCTGGATGGCCCTTTGGAGGAGGAAGCGAGGGGAGTGGAGGAAGCGAGGTGGGAGAGGAGGGCTGGATGGCTCTTGGGAGGAGGAAGCGTGGGGAGTGGAGGAAGCGAGGTGGGAGAGGAGGGCTGGATGGTCTTTAGGAGGAGGAAGCGTGGGGAGTGGAGGAGGCGAGATGGGAGAAGAGGGCTGGATGGCCCTTAGGATGAGGAAGCGTGGGGAGTGGAGGAAGCGAGGTGGGAGAGGAGGGCTGGATGGCCTTTAGGAGGAGGAAGCGTTGGGAGTGGAAGAGTCGAGATGGGAGAAGAAGGCTGGATGGCCCTTAGGAGGAGGAAGTGTGGGGAGTGGAGGAGGCGAGATGGGAGAAGAGGGCTGGATGGCCTTTAGGAGGAGGAAGCGTGGGGAGAGGAGGAAGCGAGGTGGGAGAGGAGGGCTGGATGGCCCTTAGGAGGAGGAAGCGTGGGGAGTGGAGGAAGCGAGGTGGGAGAGGAGGGATGGATGGCCTTTACGAGGAGGAAGCGTGGGGAGTGTAGTAGGCGAGATGGGAGAAGAGGGCTGGATGGCCCTTTAGAGGAGGAAGCGTGGGGAGTAGAGGAAGCGAGGTGGGAGAAGAGGGCTGGATGGCCTTTAGGAGGAGGAAGCGTGGGGAGTGGAGGACGCGAGGTGGGAGAGGAGGGCTGGATGGCCCTTATGAGGAGGAAGCGTGGGGAGTGGAGGAAGCGAGGTGGGAGAGGAGGGCTGGATGGCCCTTATGAGGAGGAAGCGTGGGGAGTGGAGGAAGCGAGGTGGGAGAGGAGGGCTGGATGGCCTTTAGGAGGAGGAAGCGTGGGGAGTGGAGGAGGCGAGATGGGAGAAGAGGGCTGGATGGCCCTTAGGAGGAGGAAGCGTGGGGAGTGGAGGAAGCGAGGTGGAAGAGGAGGGCTGGATGGCCTTTAGGAGGAGGAAGCCTGGGGAGTGGAGGAGGCGAGATGGGAGAGGAGGGCTGGATGGCCCTTAGGAGGAGGAAGCGTGGGGAGTGGAGGAGGCGAGATGACAGAGGAGGGATGGATGGTCTTTAGGAGGAGGAAGCGTGGGGAGTGGAGGAGGCGAGATGGGAGAAGAGGGCTGGATGGCCCTTAGGAGGAGGAAGCGTCGGGAGTGGAGGAAGGGAGGTGGGAGAGGAGGGCTGGATGGCCTTTAGGAGGAGGAAGCGTGGGGAGTGGAGGAGGCGAGATGGGAGAGGAGGGCTGGATGGCCCGTAGGAGGAGGAAGCGTGGGGAGTGGAGGAAGCGAGGTGGGAGAGGAGGGCTGGATGGCCCTTAGGAGGAGGAAGCGTGGGGAGTGGAGGAAGCGAGGTGGGAGAGGAGGGCTGGATGGCCCTTGGGCGGAGGAAGCGAGGGGAGTGGAGGAAGCGAGGTGGGAGAGGAGGGCTGGATGGCCCTTAGGAGGAGGAAGCGTGGGGAGCGGAGGAAGCGAGGTGGGAGAGGAGGGCTGGATGGCCCTTGGGTGGAGGAATCGAGGGGAGTGGAGGGAAGAGAGGTGGGAGAGGAGGGCTGGGTGGCCTTTAGGAGGAGGAAGCGAGGGGAGTGGAGGGAAGCGAGGAGGGAGAGGAGGGCTGGATGGCCCTTAGGAGGAGGAAGCGAGGGGAGTGGGGAAAGCGAGGTGGGAGAGGAGGGCTGGATGGCCCTTAAAGGAGAGGCGCCCCTTAGAGGAGAGGCGCCCCTTAGAGAAGAGGCATGGTCCAGGGGCTAGCAGGAGAAGATGAGGAAATGGTGAAAATGAGATCCATGGGTTAAAGTCCATATTTTGTTCTTATAAGCAATGCCTACTCGAGTAAAGGGGCGCACCTTAGTGGGAAAGAGGTAGAGGGCGGTGGCGTGGGGGTGGGAGAGCAGCGTGTGGAGGACCGGCACATTGTAGCACAGCGACTTGCCACTCGCTGTTGCCGTCGCAATGGTTGCATGCCGCCCGGCCAGTGCCGCGCCAATAGCCTTCACCTGCAGAGCAAAGCAGGGAATCAACCAAAGATCAAGGACATGGATCGGTAAGGCCTCACCAAACAAGAATGTTTGTTGGTCATCTCTCTGAAGAGAAAGGGGTAAAAGAGGCAATGGAAGGCACAAGCCACATGTGCTTACCTAATGGGCTCGGGAAGGCATGAGCCACGAGTGCTTACCTGATGGGAATAGAGCTGGGAGACGCCCGCACGAGCCAAGGCGTGCCACGTGGCAGGGCATAACTGGCTGGCCAGCTTGCCATAGCGCGGTTTCCTCTGTGGCAGCTCCTCGCAGTGCACCACCTGATGGGGGCGGGATGGAAGCAGGGTCGTAGGAAAGTGGGGTGACAATGTCTTACGGAGGTAGGGAAGCAGGGTGACAGGGAGGCATGGAGGTAGGGAAGCAGGGTGACAGGGAGGCATGGAGGTAGGGAAGCAGGGTGACAGGGAGGCATGAGGTAGGGAAGCAGAGCGACAGGGAGTAAGGGAGGTAAGGAGGCAGAGCGACAGGGAGTAAGGGAGGTAAGGAGGCAGAGCGACAGGGAGTAAGGGAGGTAAGGAGGCAGAGCGACAGGGAGTAAGGGAGGTAAGGAGGCAGAGCGACAGGGAGTAAGGGAGGTAAGGAGGCAGAGCGACAGGGAGTAAGGGAGGTAAGGAGGCAGAGCGACAGGGAGTAAGGGAGGTAAGGAGGCAGAGCGACAGGGAGTAAGGGAGGTAAGGAGGCAGAGCGACAGGGAGTAAGGGAGGTAAGGAGGCAGAGCGACAGGGAAGGGAGGTAAGGAGGCAGAGCGACAGGGAGTTTAGGGAAGTGGGCGAGTGGAGCAGGGAGGGGGGTGTGTTGGGCAGGGGAGTGTGCATATCAGAGGAATAACGAGGCATGTGGGTGTCAAGAAATGGAGAAACGCATCAGCCAGGCTTCTTTTTCACCCACTAGCCACATATCCACCTGCCCAAGCAACCCTCCCTCCCTTGCAGCAACCCCCCACCCTCCGCCACATCCCCCACGCACCTGCCCTAGTGATCCCAATCCCTGCTTGAGATGCTCCAGCAGCTGCGGTGCACTCATAGTCTCCGTGCTCTGATGCCCGGCGCAGCAGAGGGAGGGAGATGCGGGGGGAATGCGGACAGACAACGGAGTTACAGGAGAGGGAGAAGCAAGGGTGTGAGGGGGAAAGGGGAGAGGGACGACGAATCCTAAGCTGGGTTGGTTTGGCAAGAATCAAGCAATGAGTCAGTCACATGGCAGCACTCACGTCACAGCAGCACTCACATTGCAAGGAGGCACTTTCTTGAGTTGCCTGGGAGGACAAGGAGGTGTGTATCGCTGCGACCCAATGCCTGCCTCTTCCCACCACTCATCGTCACCACAACCAGCACCACCATCACAGCCTCCCTTCTTCCCATCCTTCTCTGCCCCGTCCCCATCCTCCACTGCACCTTCCTCCACCTCTCCAGTCTTATCAGACTCATCCCCAGCCGCCCCTCCTTTCCTCCGCTGCTTGCTCTGCCTCCCAATACATGACTTCCTCTGCTGTTTCGCCTTCCCTCCCTTTCCACCACCCCCCAGCTCAGCATGTGTATGATTATCAGTATACTGAGAGGAATGGAACGAGGCCGCTTCAGCAAGCAGCATCGACACTGAGATGTCTTCGAGCGGAAAGTCAGCATGCCATTCCATGCTGTCCGCACTTTGCTTCACACCAGTACGCCCCTGCTTCTTCGCTTCTTCCCCCTTCCCTCCACCTCTCTCTTCCACAACATCTCCCGCTGTTTTAAGGCGCCTCTTTCCCTTCATCCTTCTCTCTCTCTGCACTGTACTGCCCGCATCCTCGTCCCCATCCTCATCCTTGTCCTCGCCCTCCCCCGGCACCGCCTCGCTCCCCACCTTCCCTGCACCAGCTGCCCCGTGTTGGCTCTCCTCTCCTCGCAAGCCCTGGCCAGAAGCCGCAGCCACAGGAGAGGCCGAACGGCGCGACTGTGGCACAGATGGGTGGGTTTGCGATGCGGGCTGCGACTGAGGTGCAGGAGGGAGAACGTGAGCGAGGAAGTCAGCGTGAATGCGGTGGAGGGCTGCAGTGAGTGCCGAGTGGAAGGCGGCTCTCCTCTTGTCTGCCAGCCTGACAGCACTGCGACGCGGCGTGCGTTGCTGTGTGCCTGGAGGGAAAATTGCGGGATGGGAAAGTGACAGAGGCGCAGGAGGGAGAACGTGGGCGAGGAAGTCAGCGTGAATGCGGTGGAGGGCTGCAGTGAGTGCCGAGTGGAAGGTGTTGGTGTTAGGCCCCAATCTCACATTTTGTACTTGAACTTTTATATCCTAGTTTAGTGTAGTTTGCACTTTGTGTTTGGTTGGGTGTACACCCACATCCCAACCAAACCCAAATGTAATCTCCAAGCAATCTCCAACCCACCAATTGGAGATTGCCTTGGGATTACCCTTGATTCCCTAGGATTGCCTCCTGATTCCCTCCTCATCCCTACCTTGCTCATTCCGGATGTACTTAAAGAGCTTTGAGCTCACTACTATAGTATCGATTCTAAGCTCAAGTTCTGACATGGTATCAGAGCAGCTCAACCGCATACGCGGATCGTGATCCTCTCATCTCTGCGGATACTTGTCCCGCAAACCTCGGGGAAGCCATCGCCAATCTCGTCGCCGTTGATTCGCGACATTCATCGGCGGAATTTCTCCCGCCACATCTTCCCGTCACCATCGACGGAAATTTCTCTGGTAAGCGCATCGTCGGCGCTCTAACCTAACACTCGTTTTCATCAATTCGTCACTCTCGTCACTTCTTCTCCTCGTCGGGCCGCCGCCCGTCGCCCTGCAGCTTCTCGTCGGGCCGCCGCTCGTCGCCCTGCAGCTTCTCTTCGGGCTGCCGCCCGTCGCCCTGCAGCTTCTCGTCGGGCCGCCGCCCGTCGCCCCGCAGCGTCATCTTCGGGCTGCCGCCCGTCGCCCCGCATCTGCACTCCTACCCCCATCCCCCCTCTTTCCCGCAGCTGAACAGGTGCAGCAACGCAGCCGAGCAGCAGCGTAGCCGCGAAGCCGAGCAGCCGTGTAGCCGCGAAGCCGAGCAGCAGCGTAGCCGCGAAGCTGAGGGTGGTGTGTGGGGGGGTGTGTGGGAATAGGATTAGTAGGTAGTTGACACTAAATTGGCGTCTCAGTCAAATTCTCCTTCAGAAACCCTAAACCTCAATATTCTCTTTCGTAAACCCTAAACCTCCGGTTCTTCAAAATCTCCTTTGGAAACCCCAAACCTCAAGTTCCTATCGGTGACTTAAGAGCGGCGCTCCGCGCGAGAAGTTAAGGGGTCTCCACCATGGCTTTCTCGTCTTCCACCATGGCGAACCCCATCACCCCGCTCCGCCTTGAAGCCGATGGCTCTAGCTCCAACTTCAAGGCGTGGAGCTACGGAGTTGACAAGCACCTCCTGAGCCGTGACGTGCAGGGCCTTGACCTCAAGGACGTCCTCCTCAACCGTGACAAGGGGAAACAGCCCACTCTTCCCCGTGAACCGACCGAATCTTCAAGTGATGCTGACGTGATGACGTACGAAGAAGCTGTTGAGAAGTACCGGAAGTGGGAGAAGGCCGATGCTGCCATCATCAGCGTCTTCATTGCCTCCACCCCTCCCGAACTTGTCAACACGTTCCACAACTACCCTACCTCCAACGCCATCTGGAAGTATCTCCAGGATCGGTTCATGAACAAGACGGCGGTCGGAGTGGCGATTCTCATCCCCAGCATGTTTCAAGTCCGTCTTGAGGACTGCTCAGGAATGGCTGACTACATCGCCAAGGTGCAGACCATTCATGGTGAACTCAAGGAGCTGGGTATAGTCTTCCCCAAGAAGCCCCTGCAGCCGCCCTTCTTGTTGGTCTCTCCTCGGCATATGAAGTCACGAGGAAGATGCTCCTCACGCTCTCAGCGGAAGACCTCACCTTTGCTAAGGTCTCCACCGCACTCCTCTCTGCCGAGAAAGACTCCTCGGCTCAGGCCAAGGCATACGCCATCCGTGCTCCCATGCCCCTAGCAAGTGTTGCAGCGGCCCTTGCCTCGGTGCCTTTCCAGCGCAACCGCTTTCCTCCGTGCACCTACGTCGTCAAGTATGGCAACCGCAAGGGACAAGTGTGTGGTGGCACTAACCACCCCCTTGCCACGTGCTTCAAGAAGAAAGACGACGAGTGGTATGCCATCCACGGGGTTGACAAGAAGCCGCCAAACTGGATGCGCGCTCGTAAGGCCAATCTCGTTGAGGTCCAGGACCCCTCTTCGGCTAGTGCTAGTGATAGTGCTCCTGTTGATGTGCGTATCAACCTGTTGTTTCCTGGCACTGCCATGATTAATGAAGCCACTTCCCAGTACATCGACTCATCACAGGCACCACAGTACATAGAGTTCACACTCGACAGCGGGGCCACTCACACTGTGCTCAAGGAGACACTCTCCTTCAAACCCTATCCAGCACCTATCCCTCTCTTGGGAGCTGACTCCAGCTTCACCACCCTAGCCAAGGGCACCTCCACAGTCCCATGCCCAGCCTTCCCTTCCGGCACCGTCACTGGCATGTGCGTGCCTTCACTACGCCACAATCTAGTGGCTCAAACAGAAATTCAGAAAGCAGGGCTACGCACCATCTTCTCGGAGAATGAGGACCACTGCGACATCATTGACCCACTCACCAACAAGGTCTTGGCCCGCTTCACCCTCAATAGCAGCGGCCTCTACACGCTACGCGTTCCTCTCCCACAGGTTTCAACCACCCAAGCACAGGCTCCCATCACACCATGCACATGTCGCAGCCTCTCCAACCCGACCATCCTCTATCATCATCGGTTAGGGCACCCAAACTTCCGCACGCTTGCTGACATGGCCTCCAAGAAACTTCTTCTCGGCCTGCCAGCCACACTTCCTCCACCACCTGACTCACCCGCTCCCACGTGCCTTGATTGCACCAAGAGCAAACTGCGCCAACAGCCCCACACTGCCTCACCCACAATCCCAGCGGCACCACTGGACCGAGTGCACATGGACGTCTGGGGCCCTGCCCCTGTTCCTGCACGAGGTGGATATCGCTACTTCCTAGTTATCGTGGATGACCACTCACGATACGTCTCTGTTCACCTCCTCCACACTAAGGCTGAGGCTCCAGAGGTCATCATGGCGTGGGTCAAGCAGGCACAGACCACCTTTGACCGCAAGGTCAAGCGCCTTCACTCGGATGGGGGGGGTGAATTTTGCAACGACAAGCTCAAAGCCTTCTGCTCCTCCGAAGGCATCCAGCAAACCTTCACCCTCCCTGACAGCCCTCAACAGAACGGCATAGCTGAGAGCCGCAACCACACCCTAGTGCAGATCACTCGGTGCCTCCTCAGCCACTCCAACGCTCCACACTCTCTCTGGGGATACGCTCTCTACCACGCCGCCCTCCTCTACAACCTTTACCCCCATCCGCACCTTCCCGACACCACTCCAACCACACTCTGGCTCGGGAAAACGCCCACTGCTCGCTCTCTTCGCGTTTGGGGATGCACCGCCTATGTCCTCCTCAACCCTCAGGCTCGACGCCAGAACGGTGGCAAGCTCGGTCCCAAGACTCAAACGTGCATCTACCTTGGGCACAACGCCGACTCACCTGACTACCTCTTACTCAATCCCTCCACTCAACAGTTGGTCAGGAGCCGCGACGTTGTCTTTGATGAGACCCGCCCATTCTACTCCCCTTCAGGACGGGACCCTCTCCCTGATCCACCCTCCCTCGTGTGGGCAGACTTTGACGCGCCTCCCGACCTCCCGCCTGCTCCTGCCCCCTCACCTCCTCTCTCTCCTGCCATCCCACCATCTCCCTCTGAGGTCTCTGACCCGGCCTCACCGGTGTCTTCGCCAGCTGCTCCGCCCCCCCCCTCACCTTCCTCACTTCCCGCTGCACCGCCCCCTCCGAGCGCACCTATCACCTACCATCGGCGGTCCCACCCTCCGGCCCCACCTCCTCCCCCAGTTCCCCCCACCACAGAGGAACCCGCTCTCCCACAGTCGCCCGAGCTGATCACGTACCGCCGGCGGCCCATTCCCCCACCCAAGCCTCCTAAGTCACCATCTCCGACACCGCCTGCCCCACCCTCCTCACCGGTGGCTCATGGCACCCGCTCCCATCGCGCTGCTCTTCCACTCGCAATGGTTCTTCGATACACAACGATCACACCGCCTCCTCCTGCTAGGGGGGATGTGCCCTCTACCCTTCTAGAAGACAGGCATGAGGAGCTGTGTGATCTCCATGCAGTCATTCCTCAGCTCTCACACATCTTCCCCGATATCACTGGCTCACCCTCCCTCAACCTCGCGGAGAACCCGACCATCCCTATCCCTCTCACCATCCAAGAGGCTCTCTCAGGCCCTCATGCTGCCGAATGGCGTGCTGCCATAGACGCGGAGATTGCAGCATTCACTCGCAACCACTCCTTCGACGACGAGACTCCACCTCCAGGAGTCAACATCGTCGAGGGCAAGTGGTTGTTCCGTGTAAAACAGCTCCCAGACGAGGCACCGGTGTTCAAAGCGCGTTACGTAGCCAAGGGCTTCACCCAGCAGCGGTACCGCGACTTCGACCTAATCTTCTCCCCCACATCCAAACCTCCCACCATTCGAACGCTCATGGATGTTGCAGCTCGAGAAGACTTTGAGATCAAATCCATGGATGCCTCCTCCGCCTTCCTACAAGGACGTCTCAAGGAGACAGTGTTCATGGACAGACCAGAAGGCTTCCCAAGAGAATTCCCTCCCAACACTGTCTGGAAGCTGAATCGCCCCGTCTACGGCCTTAAACAAGCCCCTCGCGAATGGCACAACAAGGTGAAAGAAGTCCTCCTCTCCCTGGACTTCCACCCCTCAACTGCTGACCCGACTCTCTTCATCCGTCGTCATTCTGAGCCATTCTACATCCTAGTCTACGTGGATGATTTTATCCTCTTTGCCAAGGACTCGGCCCAAATGACCTCAGTCCAGGAAGCCCTGAGCAAGGCCCTCCAGATGAAAGACCTCGGTGACCTCAAGCACTACCTGGGAATGGAGATCACTCGTGATCGCAAGGCTCGCACCATCTCACTCTCCCAGGAGTTCTACATCGACAATGTGCTCAAGCGGTTTGAGATGGAGCTGTGCACACCTGTTGCCACCCCGCTGCCGCTGCAACACCTCCTTACAGCTCCTGCTGTACCCACACCAGAGGCCTGCTCTGAGCCATACCCGGAACTTGTTGGGTCCCTCATGTACGCCATGATGTGCACCCGACCGGACTTGGCCTACCCAGTCAGTGTTCTCTCTCGTTACGTGGCCCCGGGTCGCTTCACTAATCTTCATTGGAAGGCAGCAAAGCGGGTGCTGCGCTATCTTAAGGGCACAAAGTCCCACGTTCTCACACTCGGTGGGCTCTCCCCTCCTCGCCTGGAAGGTTACACAGACTCCTCCTGGGCTGATGACCAGACCGACCGACGCTCCTCTCAGGGGTACTGCTTCACCCTCGGGAGCGGAACTGTCAGTTGGCGCTCCACCAGGTCGTCTGCAGTCTCCCTCTCCTCCTGTGAGGCGGAGCTCTACGCAGGCACCATGGCTGCTCAGGAGGCCCGTTGGCTCACCTTCCTACTCCAGGAGCTTGGCTTCCCTCAGTCAGCCCCCACCCTCTGGTGTGACAACCAGAGTACCATCCACATCTCTCAAGACCCTGTGTATCACACCCGCACCAAGCATATTGAACTTCGGCACTTCTTCATTCGTCACCTTGTGCAACAAGAGCAGCTGAAGGTGGAATACGTGGCATCTGACTGCAACCTCGCTGACCTGTTCACCAAGCCCCTTGGGAAGGTTCCCCACCATCGTCTCCTTGGCGCCATGGGGCTCTGCGCTCCTCCCTCTCCGCCATGAGTTCGATTGACGCCTCAGGGGGGGTGTTGGTGTTAGGCCCCAATCTCACATTTTGTACTTGAACTTTTATATCCTAGTTTAGTGTAGTTTGCACTTTGTGTTTGGTTGGGTGTACACCCACATCCCAACCAAACCCAAATGTAATCTCCAAGCAATCTCCAACCCACCAATTGGAGATTGCCTTGGGATTACCCTTGATTCCCTAGGATTGCCTCCTGATTCCCTCCTCATCCCTACCTTGCTCATTCCGGATGTACTTAAAGAGCTTTGAGCTCACTACTATAGTATCGATTCTAAGCTCAAGTTCTGACAGAAGGCGGCTCTCCTCTTGTCTGCGAGCCTCACACAACTGCGACGCGGCGTTCGCTGCTGTGTGCCTGGAGGAAAATGGGGGACGATGGGGACTGAAATGCAGCGAGTCCACACAACACAAGCAAGAAGAAAACACACCATAGGTGGATTTTACTTTTGAGAATTCTCATTAGTAAAATCCACATAAATTGGGGACGATGGGGACTGAAAAGCAGCGAGTCCACACAACACAAGCGAGAAGAAAAAGAAACAACTTTCCAGCACGCACCTTGCAGCAGCATGCCTCCCCGCTTGATCTGCTGCTCTGGCGGTCGAGACGGGTCCCACATGCCCACCACCACAACCAGCGCACCTCCATCTCCTCTCCCCTTCTCCCCTCCCGTTACAGGTGCTTTCCCCCATCTCCTTCCCTGATCTTCTCGCCCCTCGTCAACTCCGCCCTCCTCCCGTTTTCCACCCTGTCTTCCCCTTCCTCCTCGGTCCCTTTCATCTCTGCAGCTGCCAGCTCCCTTCTCCCGCGCATGACTTGAACACCCTTCACTCCCCTCACTCACTTCCTCCCCATCACTCCCTCTTCCTGCCTCCACTGGCTCAACCTTTCCCCCCACTTTCCCTTCCTCGTCCTCCTCCTCGTCTTCCTCTTCCCACGTCCAAATCACCGAAGGGGCCAGTGCTGCCATGTCCCTGATGTCCTGCCATGACCGTCAGGCAGTCGTACATGCAAGGCACAGACAAACAGACGCAACAACACACGCACTCATCCACCTAGCACATGAGCCTGCCACTTGACCACAAGAGACACAATCAGGAGCAATCACCCTTAGCGCACAGTCACACGTGTATACAGAACTGCCACTCAATCACTAGCTCACTCATTCACTCACTCGCTCACTCCCTCACTCACTCACTGCTTCATTCATTCCCTCATTCACTCGCCCGCTCACTCACTAACTCACTTGCAGAGCAACGGCTTCGCCCTCGGCGCTGCTCCCAAGGGCCTTCAATGCGACCTCCAGCCGCTTCCACGTGGCCTGGAGTTATGACAGGGGCACAGGAATGGTGAGACGGGAGTGACCATGACAACAGTCAAAGGATCTCCTGGGTCAGGAAAAGCACATGGCATGGCAGTCAAATGCAGCAGAAATGCTAAGCTAACAATTCATTCTTCAAGAAGCACACACACACCTTGACTGCCCACTGCTCCAAGAAACCATACACTGCAGCCAGCAGTCCAAACTTGCAGTCCAGCATGGGAACGCTGACTCACACACAATGACTGAGACACACACTGACTGACACACACACAAGTACACACCTTGACTGTCCGCTGTTCCAAGAACCCGTACACTGCAGCGAGCAGCCCAAACTTGCTGTCCAATACGGAAACGCTGTGAGGCAACCCCGCCCTGCCTGCTGCCTGCTCTTCCTCCCTCTCTGCCTTTCTCTTCCGCCCCACTCGCCTCTCCACCTTACTCCCCATACCGCCCTTCTCCATGTCATTATCAACCCCCATGCTTGACCCATCCATGAGGTCAGTACCACCATTCCCTTTGTCCATACGTCCATTCTTTGTGTTAATAGTACCATCCCTTACGTCAGTAACGCCATTCCCAATGCCTGCACGGGTTGCTGTATGCCCCACTGTCCCTATGCCTTGTTGTCTCCCACTGCTAGCATGCTCCCCACAATCCCTTGCCACCGTGCCCTTGGCCACGTCAGTGCTAGGTGAACCGAGCTGACGTGTACGAGCAGCATGGAAGGGCAGGTAGCGAGGAGGGGAGGCGGGCCAGATTGGTGCTGCAGGGGTTGGTAATGCTGCTGGCGATGGCGGCAGTCGTGGCAATTCTGGCAATGGTGGCGGTGCTGCTGGCGCTGGTGGCGATGCTGATGGCCGTCCCAGCACTGGTACTCCCTCCGGTGGAGGAGATGGTGGGGCCGACGCCGAACGAGCGGATGCCAGACCTTCTCTGCTGCAGGCTGCACCCGACAGAAGATAATCCTTCATCGTCTGACTGCCATTATCAATCTCAGTAGACTCAGTCCGCCGCACCCCGCCATCCTTCCTTGGTGCAGTCGGTTCAGGAGGGTTGCTACTGACCCGCTGCTCCACCACATCTACTGCACATCCCTTGTTTGCAGCAACAGCGTTACTCTGAGCTCTGCCATTTGGAGAAAATCGCTGATTAGATGGAATAATGCAAGGAGGTGGGGGATGAGCAGATGGCGAAAACGGGATAGAATTCGGAAGGCGAGGAGACCCAACGGCTGTGCCGGTGCCACGTGGACCAGTCAATGACGTGGCAGCAGCGGCACAGCGCGGCGTTCCCCCGTGCTGCGACGACAGCACAGGACCCATCTGGCGCTGCTCCTTGCGCTGAAAGCTCATCAGAACCAGGAAAGCGTCTGCGGGTGCAGACTCAGAGCCACAGACTTTGGGGTCAGCGCCAGAAGAAGCATGAGGCTCGCCATGGAAACCGCCATTCATGGGGGTGGAGCTGCCAGCACGGATAGATGGGGTCCCTGGCGTCAAAGCGCTGGCAGATGCTGACGTGGCAGATCCAGGCTGGAGGAGGCCGGGAATGTCGACCAATCGGGTGGAGTCCTTGAGGCGAGATCCCTGCAAGAGGGGTGAATAAGGTTAGAGAAACCAGTGAAAACGGTGGAAAGGTGAACAATGAAGGCAAGCCATGCAGCCAGGACAGCATGTGACGCATCGAGATCAACATTGCCGGTGAAGAACCCCCAAAGATAATGGTAAAAAACAAAAGAAAACGTCGATCTGGCTGTACTAGTATACTACACGGTAAATGGTCGAAACACTAAAGCAGCAGGGGAATAGAACGGCATCAATAGGACCTACTTTATGGAAGATGACATGTTTAAGGGACGCGTCCTTGTTCATTGCTCCAGCAGCGACTCGCTTCGCATCGCCCACTCGCATGTCGCACGTCGCCTCCAATGTCACGTGCGACCCGATCAGATCCCTCACTACCACGCATGATCGCCCAGGTCGATTCATGGAGGCTGACGTGGCAGCACCAGGGACTTCGATCCGCTCGCGTCCTGCCATGTCAGCTTACTTGCAGAGTGGTTCGGGCGATTAGACTATCCCAGCTCTACTCTCTTACTCATTAAGACCGGTAAGACGGCATTCACTCCGTTGAGCTTGCGAACAACCTGATTCAGGACCTAGAAAAAACCAGGATTGTTGATTCAGGCTTGTGACCCAGCAAACGGGTTTCGCAAACAGGTAATGGATTTTCTAGAATTCGAAATAAGCAACCTTGAAATCCGACGCACACGCAGAGCTCCGACGATGCGTGGATGTGCCTGAGATTATGCTTCCTAGGAAGGCAATGGCTGTAACTCCATGAAAACGCTGAACGATGGGATTCTTATGCAAATGCAGGACCCTGTAAATCATGCTCTCAGGCTTGAAGTTCTAGAACGCCGTAGCGAACATGTTGGTTTGGGACGACGAGAATGCTGGCGTGGGCTTCATGAACTTGAATCTAGGTCGACAGTGAGTGCAGGAGTTTAACCATGGGAGAGCTGAACTCGGGCTCAGGTGAGGAACACTGCGAAATCTGTCAGACTGTCACACTGGGAAGAGCTCCCGGCTGCGTCACGATTACGCTGACAGTTCGTACTGTAGCCTGCCTCCGGGAATGTCCAGGATTCGTTCGCATTAAAGTTTACCTCGATTGAGCGAAAACTTTAATTGTGGAAAACCAGTACCCATACAGCTATTCGTACTCGTTTCCTTATTTCTAAAGAGGGTGAAGCATATCACCGAATTAAAATCATCCTAGCGTAATGTTAAATAACTCAGAACAACATTTGGCACACTTATCGATCATAAAGAAAAGTCCATCGTATTTACTCGGTATATCTTCACCACCTTTCACATTGCACTCAGAAGTCCAATTCTTCATGCTTCCTTCTGGGCAACAGCTGGGTACTTGCTTTGCACATCCGTCCAAACCAGCAGCCCATCCGCCAGCTGGCGCACCACCGATGCCACCTCATCCTTGTGAATGCGCACCTGCGCTGTACTGTCACGCTCCCGTAGAGTCACGGTGCCATCCTCCAGAGTCTGCCATTCACGACGTGGGGAAAATGAAAAGCAAACAGGAGAAATGGTGAGACAAAACAAAACCAAGACAAAATGGAGATTTATGGAGACAAAATGCAACCAATACCCCTCTTCCCCACCCACCAAACACTCCATCCTTGCCCCCACCCTCCTCACCTGCCCATCCACCGTAATCGCAAACGGGCACCCGAGCTCATCCGTCCGTGCGTATCTCTTCCCAATCGTCGTGCCCGTGGTGTCAATCTTATTCGCCACGCCTCCCTTGGTCAGCCCTGCACTCGCCTCCTGCGCCACCTTCTCAAGGTCCCCGCGCTGCACGAGCGGGAAGACGGTGCACTTGATGGGCGCCACGAGCGGTGTGAAGCGAAAGACTGTGCGCGCCTCGTCGGCGGAGGGGCGGGAGTAGAAGCTGTGCTCGTAGATGCAGTAGATGATGCGCCCTATGCCAAACGACGGCTCGATTACGGATGGGGTGAAGGATTGGCCCTGGAAAGTTGGGGAGAAGGAGAGCGGGATGGGGAGGGGGAAAGGTGAGGGAGAGGGAGGAAGGGGGAGAGGGTGGAGGGGACGGTGGGAAGGAAGAGCGGGGTAGGTTGTGGTGAGGCAGGAGTACAGAGTGAGGCGGAATTGCGTGAGAAAGTTTCAGGCAGAGCAGGGAGGGAGGACTCTTGAAAAAAGGAGAAGGAAAAAAACCCAAGCTGCTCTCATCTACTCATCTCCTCATCACTCCCTTCACCCCACCCCACCTGCAGCTTCTTCTTCTCCTTGCTGATGGCCACCATCTCCTTGCTGAGGCTGAACGCCTGTGGCCCCCCGCCCACATGGTGCGTACTCCACCTCATACCCCACTCCCCTGCACCACGTTCCTCTCATGCCCTTCATCCCACCTGCAGCTTCTTCTTCTCCTTGCTGATGGCCACCATCTCCTTGCTGAGGCTGAACGCCTGGCTGCCCCCACACGGAGTGTACTCCACCTTGCCATCCGCCTCCAGCGCTGCCTTCATCGCCAGTGCCTCTGCTTCCGTCATTGCCTCCAGCGACTCAGCAATGAGCTTGGCATCACGCTTGAAGGCCTTACCAATGTCCTTCTTGCTGGGCACGATGCTCATCACCTCCACCTCACGTGGCTCGGGGAACTTCTCATACGCCACCAGCTCCACCTTGCTCTTCTCCTGTTCACGTGCGTCAATGGCAGGGGGAAGGAGGAAAGTGAGGATGGGCAGTGGTGACTTGATGACATATTTGACCTCCACCTCCCTGGGCTCTGGGAACTTCTCATACGCCACCAGCTCCACCTTGCTCTTCTCCAGTTGGTGAGAGTGAGCAGGAGGGGGGGAGACGAAGTTTTCTAAGAGTGTGGGGAAAAACAGGGAAGCAGAGAAATGGACGGTGTTACTCCCTTACTGTGTTCCACCAACAGCCACACCTGTGCTATCAACCCTCGCCATGTAAGCTCACTGCATTCCAAAGCCGTACCGTGTGCGCCTTGAGGTCGAACGCAGACCTACCGCCAGACGATCGCACTCCACCCACATATAAAGGGCATTAGATCTCAGCATCCCAGCAGTCCGTGGCATCTCCTGCTGCAGGTGCTGGCGGTGCTGCCTGTGCTGCTAGGGGCGCTGCAGGTGCAACAGCTGCCCGACTAACCTGCATCAACAGCCCGCTCTCGTGCTGCTTTCAACTCTCAACCCTCACCGTGTGCGCCTTGAGGTCGAAGGCGGAGCGGTCAGCCAGACCAACGCACTCCACCCATCCATAAGAGCATTCAGTCTCAGCATCCCGTGCTGCAGGTGCTGCAGGCAGGTGCTGCCAGAGCTGAAGCAAACCTACTCACCGTGTGCGCCTTAAGATCGAAGGCAGAGCGATCTGCCAGACCAACGCACTCCACCCAGCCGTACGAGCATTCGATCTCAGCATCCCAGCAGTCCGTGGCGTAGTGCGCCATCTCGTGCTGCAGGTGCTGGCGGAAGCGCAGGCGCTGCGGGTCGATGCCCAGGCGCGAGAGGAAGAGGAACGTGCGCCCGATGAAGTACCCGAGAGTCGCGTTGTTGATTATGCCCTGATAACAGATAGTGGGGAGCAGGGGAATTGGGGGTTGAGACAGGAGGTTGAAGATTGCCAGTCTGGAGGAGAAATAGGAAGAGGAACGTGGGTGTAGGTGGCATGCCCGCAATAAGCTGCCGTATACTGTTTTCCTTTCCTGCCATCGAGTGGGCAGCATCCCCAAGCGAGACGACAAGGCGTTTCTCCTCTCCACACCGCCTCAACGGCTTTCCCCTCAACAGCATTTTCCTAGTCGCATCGTAATGGCCTATTTCGGCCCAAGCTAATCCGCTCGCAGTCTGAGCTTCGTACCTTCTCCACAGCATCCCCGAGCCGCATGGTGACGGGCTGTTTGGGTCCCAGCTGCTCCGCGCGTGGGTAGAGCAGGAAGGAGAGGTCGGCCACCGAGGAGAAGCGCGGGTGCGACTTGTCGGCGGGGCTCACAAAGTGCTCGATCTCCGCTAGCGTGAACTCGCGCACTCGCAGCAGCCCAGCTCGGGGAGCAATCTGGAGAGATGCACGCAAGGGTTGGGGGCAAGAAGGGAGGGGGGTTTCGACTTTGTCAACGGGGCTCACAAAGTGATCTCTGCTAGCGTGAACTCAGGCACTCGCAGCAGACTCGCTCTGGGGGCGATCTGGGGGAGCAGTGGGGTTGGGGATGAGTGGTGCAAGGAAGGGGACGGGGTGCGATAAGGGAGGGACTTGTCCGTGGGGCTCACGAAGCGCTCGATCTCTGCTAGCGTGACCTCACGCACTCGCAGCAGCCCCGCTCTGGGGGCGATCTGTGGGGACGTGTGCGGGGGGGTTGGGATGGGGAAGGTTGGTACAAGGAACGAGAGGTGCGCGAAGGCGTTGAAATGGCAGGCGGGATTCGTTCATGGGGCTCACATCACGTTCATGGGGCTCACATCACGTTCATGGGGCTCACATCACGTTCATGGGGCTCACATCACGTTCATGGGGCTCACATCACGTTCATGGGGCTCACATCACGTTCATGGGGCTCACATCACGTTCATGGGGCTCACATCACGTTCATGGGGCTCACATCACGTTCATGGGGCTCACATCACGTTCATGGGGCTCACATCACGTTCATGGGGCTCACATCACGTTCATGGGGCTCACATCACGTTCATGGGGCTCACATCACGTTCATGGGGCTCACATCACGTTCATGGGGCTCACATCACGTTCATGGGGCTCACATCACGTTCATGGGGCTCACATCACAATGACAGCAACCCTGCTCACGCCCCCATCACAACAGCGCACCACATCTCCCGGCGACGCACGACACCCCCCCCCCGCACCACACCCACCAGCATCACACCCGCCAGCATCACACCCGCCAGCAGCGCACCTCGTTGCGGAAGGCCTGGCCGATCTGAGCAGCAGCGAAGGGCAGCTTGCCACCGTTGTAGTACAGCAGATCCTTGAAGTTGACGAATATGCCCTGCGCTGTCTCGGGCCGCAGGTAGCTGAGGGGGATGGGGGAAGGGGATGGGGAGAGGGATGGAGTGGGAGAGCAGTCAAGTCAAAGCGGAATGAGGGCCGTTGTAGTACAGCAATTCCTTGAAGTTGACGAATATGCCCTGCGCTGTTTCAGGACGGAGGTAGCTGGTGGGATCGGTGGAGAGTGGGGGAGTGGGGGGCGGGGAGATGGGGAGAGTGGGGGAGTGGGGGGGGGGAAGATGGGGAGAGTGGGGGAGCAGCGAAGGGCAGCTTGCCACCGATGTAGTAAAGCAGGTCCTTGAAGGTGACGAATATGCCCTGCGCTGTCTTGGGCCACAGGTAGCTGGTGGGGAGGAGCAAGAGAGGGGGAAGAAAGGATAAGAGAGAGTCAAGTTTGGAGCATGAAATGTGAGCACCTGACGTCGAACACTCCATAGTGCCAACCATTCACATGTCAGCCCCGCTCAGTCTCTCACGCACCCGTGCAACAACCCCGTGGGGCCAATAGCGGTGGAAAACATGAGGTTGAATGGGTATGGAGCAGACAGGTCGTTCTTCGTGTCCGGCGCCTTCACGCCGAACTCCTTCAACTTCCCGTCCAACTCCTCTGCACCGTACTCGTCCAGCACGGCCAGCACGTGCTTGATCTCCTCGCGCCGCTCAGGCGCCATAGTCACCTCCTTCTCTAGCAGCTCCCCGAGGTGGTCTTTCAGCAGGTGGTCCGCGCGGTAGCACGCCTGCGTCTTCACGTCCCTCACCATGAGGTCGGTAAATTTGTCCACGTGGCCTGATGCTCGCAGGACTGCGTCGGGGGTGACGCACGGGCAGTCCACTTCGAGCATATTTTCTTCCAGGACGAAGTGCTGGCAGACGGAAGGGGTCGGCGGGGTGGGGGGGAGGGGGGCGGCGGGTTAAGGGAGAGGGAGAGAGAGGAGGGGGGTTGGAAAGAGGTGGTCCGCGCGGTAGCACGCCTGCGTCTTCACGTCCTTCACCATGAGGTCCGCGAACTTGGCCACGTGGCCTGACGCACGGAGGACAGCGTCGGGGGTGACGCATGGGCAGTCCACTTCAAGCATAGTATCTTCCAGGACGAAGTGCTGAGGGGAAGGGGTTGGGGGGACGGTTGTGACCAAAGAGGACGAGCGGGGACGGATGATGGCGAGAAGAGAGCATCAGCGTTTACGGCAGGCGTGGAGGGGACGCTGGAAAGGTACACATGGAGAAGTGACTGCGCGGTTGAGGGTTTATGCCTGACACGTGCGTTACCCGTGCCAGACATTTGAACACGCGCAGATCGACACGCGCAGGAGCGAAAGCAAGCGTCGTCGGCGACCATTTTAATCACATCGTTCATCATTCATGAAAGGAGGATCTCTCATGCGAGATCAGCCGTGAGTCGCGGTCGCTGACGTGCTCCTTGGGAAGAAATCCATGTGACCGTTTCAGAAACCCATTTTCACTAGATCACGCCTGTGCTGGATCGCACCTGTCTCAGATCACACCTCTCGGGTCGCAACCGCCTCAAATCACCCCTCGCAGGTAACACCTGTCTGAGATCACACCTCTCAAATCGCATTGTCTCAGATCCCACCTGCCTCAGACCCCACCTGGCGCCAGAAGGCGAGCACGTTCGACTTGACGGCGCAGCCGGGCGGGCCGTAGTCGAACAGCCCAGCCACGCCGCCATAGATCTTGAAGCTCGGAATGATGAACAGCCGCCGCTCCAACGCGTTGTTCACGGCCTGCCGAAACGCCTCCCGATTGATGCTCGCATCCTTCCCCTTCCCTCCTCCCTCCGCCTCCGACTTTGCCGTGAACGTTTTGGTTGCCGACTCGAGGTCGATCTTTAAGTGCTTGAGCTTTTCGATCGCCGCGTCGATCTCGGCGCGATCGGCTTTCGCGGCTTTTAGGGCTCGCACGGTGTCGCCTTGAGTGGTAACCTCCTCTTGTTTCGCAACGACGGCTTGCCGTAAAGCCTCGAGCTCATCGCTGGGAGCCATGGTCACTAGACTTGGCGATTGTGCTAAAGACTACTTGCAAAGCAGAAAGTTCATGTACCAGCAATATATTATGAATTAACTAAAATCCCAATTTGTCTCGTGTCAGGATGGCCGAGTTGGTCTAAGGCGCCAGTTTCAGGTACTGGTCCGAAAGGGCATGGGTTCGAATCCCATTCCTGACAACAATTTTCCATTTCTCCCACACGACAGCCTTTTTCATACTTGTCCTCTTCCCTGCCTCCCCACTCTCCAGCAATTCAGGGGGCAGTGCCTGCAGCACCTCAGGGGTCACCCGTGCCTGCAATAGCGGCTGTTTCAAAGTATGCACACAAGAAGTTGTTGTCAGTATGTAATTGTACACATTACTCTATAACTGCCTGTAGTGTAGACTCAGTGTAGTTAACTTGCTTGTTAGGTGGTGCACCTTTCTTCTCATGCTTGTTCTTTCATATTTGTACCCTTGAGCCTATACTGAAACCCTCTTTGCTTTGGCAAACTCTCCCGTCACCTCTTAGCCTTGCTCTAAACCCCAAAACTATGGGTTCTAAGAATGCTCCTAAGAGCGTGTTACAGTATGTACCCCTCTTTTTGGGGGCTGGTCAGGTTGCCTCAAACGGTCGGTTTGGGTAGACCACTAGGGTCACTGGATTACCAGCAGCTGTACAATGTACAGTATTGTACGTACGTACCAGAGCTTCACACACCTGGTCGAGGCAACCAGGTGGTCAATGCGACCGGTTGGTCGCGCCCACGCACAACCGAGTCAAGGCAACCAGCCTCGAACGTACCAACATGCAGCGCAACCAGTGATACAGTAAACACCAAGGGCAGGTCACACAATCAAATATCGATGCGATTGGTGGAAGAAAACAAATATCAAAAATTGAATGCAGAACATTGGCGGAAAACTGTTGGGTCTGCCCAAAAAACTATTCGAGTGGTTGGGTCCCGAAAACAAGTGAATGGTACAAACGCAGGTTGCCTGCTGGGACCCAACCGCCCACTTGTCGACCCGACCAGTCAGGCAGGGTCAGCTTTTACAGCCAACCGGGCCCTGCCACCAAATTAAGGGGTACGTAACACGCCCTAAGTTTCTCTAGCTAACCTACTATTTTGACAGTTGTGAGCCAATCAGCTGGTATACCACATTTTTAAATAACGTGCTTTCCACAGTGCCATGTGCTGTGTCGCCGGATTTTAATGCCACTCTCTTCACCTCTCAAACTCCCCCTTTCCTGTCCTCTCTTCTCCTCTGCTCTTCTCTCTTCCATCCCGTTTATCCAACACCAGCAGCACGGGCACCAGTGGTGGTAGCAGCAGCAGCTACAGTGGTGGGAAGGGTAGTTGCAGCATCATCAACCACTGCAGTGGTTGCAGCTGCAGCAATAAAGGGTGATTGCATTTTACCCTACTGCTTCCAATTTTCATCGTATGCTAGTTGGTTCAATTGCAGTTCCCTCAATTTTTTCCATTCAGTAGTCCTTGTGTTCTTGTCCAGTGCTTCGATGTCCCACTCGTCTCCTTATATCCTTCCTATGTTGCTCGGCATCCCCTCTTATCGGGTCCTATTGCTATGGGTCCCGGGTCTCCCTCCCCTCTCCATGTCCCATTGCTGTAACTGCCAGTAGCTGCGGGGGAAGCAGTGGCAGCAACAGCAGTGCAGCCTTTCTTTTCATGGTAGGTGTGACGGGAGATTATGCAGGGCTGGCCTTGCTAATGTACGTCTCTCACATAGTGCTTGCTTCACAAAAGCCGTTTGGAATGGACGCATGCACAGCTATTTTCTTTCCTTCTAAACAGCTTCGCCAGTGTGCTGATGTGCGCTCTTACTTCTTGTTAGTGACTCACTGCTCTCTTTCCTCCTCTTTCTTCCATGCCCCATTGTTCTTTCATGTGCTGTCTCTTCTCTGGTGATGCGCAGGGTGAGGCAGAGGAGGACTTGTGCGCGCCGGCTGCCTGCTGCCTGCTGTCTGCTGACTGAGCGGTCTGCTGCTGCTTAGAGCGCGCAGACCTGATTCCAGCGCGTTGCCCGGTTTTTGCCCCGCGCGTCGCCCAAGCTGTTCGAGTCGCGCCTCGGCAGCCCGCGCGCGGCTCGTTGCTGCTCCGCGCGCCGCGTCTGCAGCCCGCGCTGCTTGCTGCAGCCCCACGCGTCGCGTCCGCTGCCCGCGCGTCGCGCTGCAGCCCCGCGGGCCGCGGCTGCCGTCCTCGCGCAGCCCGCTGCGGCTTCGCGCGCCGCGTCTGCAGCTCGCGTAGCCTGCTGCAGCCCCGCGCTCCACGGCTGCCCCTGTTCGTCGCGGCGCCCCCCCTGGACGTCGCCCCGCCCTGTCGCGACGCCCCCCCCCCTGGACACCTCCTCTGCCTGACTGCCGCCGTCGCTCCTGCAGCAGCTTCCGCAAAGCGCCATGCCACGGTCACGGCCTCGCCTTGCAGAAGCTGCCGCGGAGCCTCCTGATGCTGTCGCGGCCCCGTTCTGCAGCAGTCCGCGCGGCCCCGCCCTGCAGCAGTCCTCGCGGCCCCGCCCTGCAGCTACCTGCTGATCGACCTGGGAGAGCGGCCTCGTTCTCCTTCAGTTCTGTACGTAAACAACAAGGCCGCCATTGCCTTGTGTCAGGAGCACAGACTGGAGCACAGAATAAAGCACATCGCTCTGCGTTACTTCCTTGCTCGAAAGTTGCAGTAGCGTGGTCAGCTTCGTCTTGCTCACGTGGCCACTCAGGCCAACACTGCTGATATATTCACCAAGGCACTTCCGTCTGGTGATCATCAGCGTTTTTGTACTTTGTTAGGCCTTGTGCCCACGTTTCCTCACTTGCTGTAGACTTTGCTTGTACTGTGATCTATATATATACCTGCATGCTTGCTCTGCTATATAGAGATCACTGTGCTGCCGTTGTTGCATATATACCTCTGCATGTGAACTAGCCTTGTGGCCCTTTGCTTGTGCTCAGTGTGTGTGGTAACGTTGTGATCCACCCTGAGCTTGCTTTGCTTCTCTTGACTGGTCTTGTGACCCCTTGTTCTCCCCCACTTTGCCTATGGGGGTGTGTCAAAGTATATGCATGTCATATATATGTCAAACATTATATATGTTGTGCTTGTTTAGGCTACAGTGGGTTAGCCTATAGGGGGTACACAATTCTAGGGTTAGGTACTTGTACTGATTTCACTGTTAGTTCAATCATTCCTGTTCGTTCATTTCAACATGGTATCAGAGCAAGTCCTTCGCTAGGACCGTTTTTTAGGGCCCACCACTACCTACCTACCTACCTACCTAACTGCGCCCTAGGGCGCCTCGTTTTTCACGGCCCCCTAAGGCCCCGCGACCCGCGACCCGCCCCTTAGCGACTCGCGCACCGCCCCTTAAGGCCCCGTCGGCCCACGCGCTCGCCCTGCGCTCGCCCCTTAGCGGCCCTGTCGGCCCCGCGATCGCCCCTAACGGCCCCGTCGGCCCCGCGCTCGCCTCCCTAGAGGCCGCCGTCGGCCCCGCGCTCGCTCTTAGCGGCCCCTTACGGCCCCCCGCTCGCCCCTAGAGGCCCCGAACGGCCCCGCGCTCGCCCTTAGCGGCCCCTTACGGCCCCGCGCTCGCCCCTAGAGGCCCCGAACGGCCCCGCGCTCGCCCTTAGCGGCCCCTTACGGCCCCGCGCTCGCCCCTAGAGGCCCCGATCGGTCCCGCGCTCGCCCCTAGAGGCCCCAAACGGCCCCCCCCAGAACGAGCCGCCCGACCCGAGCAGCCCGAACCGAGCCGCCCAGCCCGAACCGAGCCGCCCGAACCGAGCCGCCAAGCCCAAACCGAGCCGCGCCGCCCGAACCTAGCCGCGCCGCCCTTCCCGAGCCGCGCCGCCCTACCTGAACCGAGCCGCGCCGCCCGTACTGGACCGAGCCGCCCTACCTGAGTCGCACTGCCTACTGTTTTTGGGGTGCCCCTACTGCTATTACTCCTACTACTGCTATGGCTAGCCCTCCTGTGCTAGCTTTCGATGCTGAGGGCCGCCCAGTGAAGTTCGAAACCTGGCTAGATGACCTACACCTCTTCCTACAGTTCACTGCCAAGGAGGACATCTCACTGTACGATCACGCCTTAGGCCATGCTCCTGCTCCTACTGCTACTGCTGACAGCACTGCCCGCTCACAGTGGCAGACTCGTGATGCCCACGCTCGCTTCGCTATTCGCAACTCCCTGCCGATAGATGAGCGCGAGCACTTTGGGCAGCACAAGACTGCACAGGCACTGTACACTGCTGTCGTTGCCCGCTACTCCTCACCGGCCTCTGCCGCACTAGGCCGTCTCTCTCTTCCCTACATGTTCCCCGACTTAGCCTCTTTCCACACAGTCGCTGACCTCATTACGCACCTCCGCACTAGTGAGGCTCGCTTCCGCGCCGCCATGCCTGATGAGTTCCTTGCCAAGAACCCACCCCCACTCTGGCTCACTCTCTACCACCTAGTCACCCGCCTCCCTGACACTCTGCGCTCAGTCAGGGACCACTTCCTAGCTCGCTGCCCCACTAAGCTCACCATTACCCTCCTCGAGAAGGAACTCCTTGCAGCTGAGGCTAGCATAGTCGCTGTAGGTGCCTCTCGTGGCGACCCCCGTACCCCGTTCTTTGAGGGGTGTTCTCCTTCCCCCCTTCTTCCCTCTATCGCCTCTGCTGCTGCTGTCGACCTCCTTGGTGCTGAGAAGGTCGGGACTGCGTCTGCTTCGAGCGGGCGCCGCAGCGGCAAGGGCAAAGGGGGCAAGGGCGGTGGCGGTGACAGCGGGGGAGGCGGTGGTGGGGGCGGTGGCGGCGGTGGGGGTGGTGGCGCGTCTGGAGGGGCTAGTGGCAGTGGTGGGGGTGGTGGCGGCAGCGGCGGGGGAGGTGGCAGGGGCGGAGGCGGTGGTGGGGGTGGCGGTGGACGCGGCGGCGGCAGGGGTTGGGGTGGTCGAGGAGGTGGCGGCGGCGGTGGTGGTCGGGGAGGCGCTGGCGGTGGCCAGGGCCAGCAGCACACTCCGTCGCCCCAGG